CATGAACAAATAAGGTCAGCTATCAGGTCAGATCATGACACGCACACACACACACACACACACACACACACATATATATATATATATATACATATATATATGAAGTTTCCGTTTATTATACATAATGATTCTTGTTTGCTGAGGCAACATTATGAGTTTTATATCAGTATCAATATTGGGGTAAAATATTTTAAGTTGCTGAGATCTCCTTCCCCTGCTTAGTTTCAGAAATAATGTGTTTATAATGATGCAAGTTTCCCAACATAATCATAACTACTCTCTGTGAATATAGTATGAATTTCATAATGCTAGGACAATAAATGTGAAAATAGGGAGGGGAAGGATTCTTCGGCAGGTTCCAGGTCCTAAGTTTAACGAATAAAAAGTCAAAAGCAGAGAGTTTATTCTGACTGTAGCACATTGTGTCTCCATACAAGTAAAAATCCTATTCATTATGTCCACCAAAACTCTCAATTCTAGGGCATCCATACATAAGAAATANATTACCTGTACTGCTTTGCTGTAATTTTACATTGTAAACCATCCATAAGTGGCTGTTTAGAGGACTATTGACTGATTGACTTCTTATGACTAGGTTTAAATAACTGGATGTTTGAGTACCTATCCTTCACAGGTAATTTTTCTAATTCAGTAATATTTACTTTCATTTTTAATGATTAATTGATGGTTTCTTTTAAAGGTTTATATCTCCCAATGTACACCCGTATTAAGCTGTGTCGTTAACATTAACACTTCATTTTTTACATTTAAATTTCACATGTACGTGTATGTAGTTAGTCCATCTCAGATATCATTTATACCACTTTGTAATGCCAAACTAATATTTTATCTTCAATGAACTACAGGGGGGATGCAGAATTAATTAAATATATAAGTAATTATAAAGGCCTATTTCTTTTATCCACATTAGTGATACATGCTGGGGGTCACATACGAATATTGGCGAAAACAAGATCTTAACTGGTAACCTTATGAGGATTTTGACACAAGACATCTTGGCAAAAACAGGAACCATCTCTTTCCTTTTTAAGTATCAGAGCCAAAATGGGCACACATACATTCACATACAGACCAGCAAGAATTCGAAATACCACTTGGTGCTAGGGTATAAATACAGCTTCATATGGGCCCGCCATTTTGGGGGAAAAAGCTTTAAGACTTTTAAGATGATGTGCTTTAAGGTATTATCCATGTGCAGGTGGATGAGATCAGTGATAATTAGAGACCAGACAGGTTTAAGCAGGTGAGCAACATGAACAAATAAGGTCAGCTATCAGGTCAGATCATGACACGCACACACACACACACACACACACACACACATATATATATATATATATACATATATATATGAAGTTTCCGTTTATTATACATAATGATTCTTGTTTGCTGAGGCAACATTATGAGTTTTATATCAGTATCAATATTGGGGTAAAATATTTTAAGTTGCTGAGATCTCCTTCCCCTGCTTAGTTTCAGAAATAATGTGTTTATAATGATGCAAGTTTCCCAACATAATCATAACTACTCTCTGTGAATATAGTATGAATTTCATAATGCTAGAACAATAAATGTGAAAATAGGGAGGGGAAGGATTCTTCGGCAGGTTCCAGGTCCTAAGTTTAACGAATAAAAAGTCAAAAGCAGAGAGTTTATTCTGACTGTAGCACATTGTGTCTCCATACAAGTAAAAATCCTATTCATTATGTCCACCAAAACTCTCAATTCTAGGGCATCCATACATAAGAAATATGAAAACATTAAGAATATGGTTTAAACTTCCCTTTTTGTTCATATTTTAATCCGTATTCTCCTCAGTGGGCGTGAGTTTAAGGTGGGGGATTCTCGGCAGGCAGGAAATTCTTGGCACAACACTTTTGTTCACCTTGTGGCAGCTGCAGTGGCATACAGTTGCCACGAGGTGTAACTAAGCCGACAGGTCACCTGCTGCACTAACGGCTGTTTACTGAGAAACGGTTTGATTTCATGGTTTTTTCATGCTGGTTCTTTATTTACTTCTGATTAATTATGTGCTAAATTCACATATTTTATTAAATATTTTTAAACAATTTAATAAAAAAGTTATAAGGTCTGTGTAATGTCGTTTGACTCGTGATAAGAAAAACTAATGCGGTGATATGAAAAAAAATCACATAAAAATACGCTGGCACACTTATGAAGTCAGTGACAATTGTGTGCCACAAAGTTTTTAACGATAATGCCAGAGGATGCCAGGATGCTACCAAGATGTCAGAACTGCCTTGTCAAGGCCTTAAATATCCCATTGCAGCCACTGCTGTTTTTTTTGGAATCAAGGCTGATTTTTAGTAATTTGGATGTCAGGATAGTTTGAGCTACTGACTGTTAGTAAAAAAATACTTTCAATTGATATCATTATTAATTTTTAATTAATAAAAAATGTTAGGCCCAAAATATTAAGTAACTGTATACTTCAGATGTCAACTATATGTCCAGAAATCATAGTATGTATATGAAATTAGAAATCCCTGGCCATGAAGATGCCACAAGATGCAAAGGTAGACAAAGTGTTTGCAGTTACATTGGCTGTGATAACTTTATTAATAAAAAAAACCTTCCAGAAGGAGTAATTGTTCCTGAAATCTTGCAAAAACCTTGAGATTTTGCACATCAATAATGACAGAGCAGAACGTGTCTTAGTCTTTTTTCTTTTCAAAAACAAAAATTAAAAGCTCGGCTGGAGAGTTCTCATTGTAATCTCCCTCCCAAATCTGCATGGCCTGAAGGGTCTCTATTTGTTCTCTGTTGTCCATATAAAGTACTCTGGGAAATGCATCTCAACCTTCAAAAGTAATTTTTTTGGCACCAATCTGCTGCAGTGTGGCTGTCATTTAAAATAGCCTTTAATTTCTTCAAAAAAAAAAAAAAAATTGGTGAGGGTATTCAGTATGTTGATAATAATAATAATAGAACTTTATCGATCTCACATTGGAGAAATTTACCTCTGCATTTAACTCAACCCCTTGGGGAGCAGTGGGCTGACTGACTCATTTTATTTCAGTGTTAAATTCTGTTTAAAGTAACAGATAATAATTTTAAAAAATCTCCAGACTTTTACTGGTTGATGATTTTCTTTATTCGGACCATACTGATTTTTAAATCATTACATCTGCTCTATGCCATTTGAAAACACCAAAACTAGGCACAGTGGAACAGATGAGGGCTTCGGAATTAGCTTCATTTGATTTGGAAATCAAATCACCACCCTGCCCCTCAAAATGCAAATGCAGAGGCTCTGTCCCACCTTAATGTACTTTCTGAGGGTGAAAGCGAATTTTGTGGTGTCCAGGCAGATATGGACACTCCCTGCTCTAGATATGGGTGATCTCTCTATTTTGCAGTTTCAGGATTCCACCATAGGCCATTTTCTGAAGTATTGGAGGGAGGGCATTATGCCAGATGATAAGGAGACACAGTTAGAGAGTTGATTTATCAGTTGGGGTGACTCAGGCAGAAGGAGTTAATACTTTATCTTTGTATTCACCAAGAAGATTGGGGACAGCGAGGTTTAGCAGGTGGTGTTACTCAAGTGTCTACAGGAGCAGGTTCTTTGCTGCGTCCATGATGGGTTAGAAAAAACTTTCCTATGTGTTCCCTCTATATGCCTCTGGCCAAATATGTACAGTGACACAGAGCAGTGGTGTAGAAGCTGTAAGTGGTGTCAAAGGTCAGCCTAAGGTGACGAAGTGTATGGGCTCAGTCAAAGCATTACGGCCACATGAAATGTTGGCCAAAGATTTTATTGTACTTTTTTTTTTTTATTTTTTTTTTTTTTTTTTTCTTGTTTTTTTTTCAAAACTTACTCAAACTATTACAACTAAAGATCAGAGAGCAAGCATTGGTTTCAGCCATTTTGGCCTCAGGGTCATATTTAGTCGGATGAGGGAAATAGTGTCGAAAGTATTCTTGTCCAGCAGCTCATTAAAATGTATAATATCGAGAAGACCCACACAACTCCTTACCGCCCTCAAAGCAATGCGAGTGGTTTAACCGCAGGTTCAACAGCGCTTCAACAGTAGGGGGAAACGGAACAAAAAAATCAACCATCAGCACCAGGATTATGACAGAAGAACCCTGGACTCTTTCTCCTGTATGGTGAAACCGGTGGCTGAAAACCAGTGGTACTAAAAGGAGCAGATTTGATGGCATGCTCATCCCAGTGAAGTTGACTGGCTCACTTGGTGGGATCAGCCTCACAGAGGATGTGGATCTTAAGTCTGGATCTCCTGGTTGGCCCTCTCTTTCTGACCATCTATTTGGGGGTGTAAACCTGACAGGAGGCTGACCCCTAACAAAGCACAAAACTCCCTCCAGAATCGGGAGACAAACTGGGGACCCTTTTCAGAGACAATGTCAGTGGGGAGGCAGAGCCAAGGGCGAGTGCAGTGGATTCACATAGAATTCCTATACATACTGCGCGGGGAAGGGCGATGAAGCGTCCAGCGGTGAACTACATGTGGTTAGAGCAGTGACCGCTCTGCTTCCACTTTCATGCTAACAGAAAGAGCTGAGTTGTTGCTAAGCAACAGCACAGCACGGAGAGAGTTTGAGCGGTGATCGCTCAAGTTTAAACGAGCTGAACTTTTCTATGAAAACGCAACATGGCAACCGATCAGGGACTGGTTGTAGGCAATGCTTTTTTTGCTTTAAATGGAATACAGATAAAATGTTTTAAAAAAAGTTAGAAATAAGGAATACTCTCAAGAGGTCTTTAGATGGCTTTAAAAATAGCCATTTGAATTTAGTCTAGAAGGACTATTAATTGTCCTCACTTCCCTTTAACACAAAGCCCGGTCTGTCACTGCCCACTATCTGTGCTTTCTGTAAGAGTAGATTTACAAGGAAGTCTCTCTGACCTTTTTGCTGTGAAGCAGTATTTAAGTGTGCTGTTTTCTTCCTTCGTTTATACGGAATAAGAAAACCAGACACAATATTATACAGAAGATATCATACAGTTTAAATACTTTATAATATGGTCTACCTTAAGCTATCAATACTGTGTAGAGGAAAAGGATCCATTTGTTTAACAAGGAACATCATTTATACAACTGAGACCGTTTCATCTTTAATTACTTTACCACACTCAGTAAGCCGTTTAAAATAAAGTTAGAATGAGATACAGTATGATTGAGACAGTTTATGCGATACAGTTCCATAAAAATGTGAGATAATTTTATTAGTTGTCCGCTGTATATTAAACACCTAATAAACGCAGTAAGATATTTATAGGATTTTATTAGGACACATCTCTTCAATCTTCCTGTTTTCCTGTTTAAGTGTTCCTGTCAGGGCTTATAATCATAGTAAAGCTAAAGCCTGTTTGGAAAACCTCAAAGCCCAAGGACTTCTTTCTTCACGCTGCAACCCAACAATGTATTTCCGGCTTCAACACACTCTGGTACACATGGAGCTGAAGAAAAAAAATAGAAAACAGAATTACTGACACATAGCCACACACTGTAACTTACTGTGTGGCAAAAAAGTATTTAGACAGCCACTGATTGTGCAAGATCTCTGATTTAGAAAGATGAGCAAGATCTGTACTTTTAATCATAGGTACACTTTAACTACAATTTAATACAGGAAATCAAATTGTAGGATTTTAAAGTCCTTAGTCCTTAGCAAGTTTCAACCCAATACTTTGTAGCAGAACCCTTGTTGGCAATGACAAAGGTTCACCTGGTTTGCAGACATGTAACAGATATTTGTGCCTATTCATCTATGCAGATCTCCTGTAGAGCACTGATGTTTTGGGGTTGTTACTGGGAAACATGGACTTTCACCTCCCTCAAGTTTTAATGGTGTTGAGGTCAGAAGATTGGCAAGTCCACTAAAGAACCTTGAAATGTTTTATACAGAGCTAGCCCTTCATTGCACAGACTAGCAGTCTGTGATCATTGTCATGTTACAGGTCTATGAAGACCACACATTGTGCTTGTCTATGGTTGATCCCATACTTACTTTTGTTTATAATTAAAATTAAAAATCTTTAAAAATCCTAATATGGATGTGATTTCCTGAATGTTTCATTACATTTTATTCCCCCCACAGTTAAAGTGTATCTATGATAAAAAAAATGCAGGCCTCTCTCATCTTTCTAAGTAGGAGAACTTGCAAAATTTTTTGCTGACTTAATCCTTCTCTTCCCAGACAGTTTTTTTTTTAACCCAAACCCTACACCTAACCCACCATTTCCTGCTGATTATCTGTATTACCATTCTGAGCCTTGATCCATGAAGCAGTCTTCATTGTGAGAAGCTCCCACTCCTCTTTGGCATCCATCTTGAACCCATGAAGCCATATCAGAGCCAGAATGGAGGCCCACACCTCATTGTTGACCTAGTTTACAGGGAAAGTCAAAACAGGATAAAGAAAAGGAAAGATGTCATAATACTGCTTTCTTTAATGAGACACCATATTAAGCTATTTAACTGACTTGGTGCTGTTTGGTGGAAACTAAGTAACTATTGCTTAGCATGTTTGATGTGTTCCATCTTTATTCTGAGCCCAAGCTTAAACATGAAACATGGTGATTAGTTTGTCTTCTTACAGCATCAGGGTCCTGGATCCAACTATCCATTTTCTCTGCCTCATCCCAACACCACTGGAGATTGACCCAAACCCATGTCCCCTAAACTACAAATGTTCATTTCTTGCACTCAAACTCTTAAATGTAACTCTTAAATGTATTAATGTGGGGAAATTATTATGTACAATTTATTGTTCATTATTTTGAGAGTGACCCACCGATTTTGGCTTTGACTTCTCCACCTCCTCTTTGTTCTTTCCAAACACAGCAGCCAGATCTGCATCAAGCTGCCAGAAGCCGGATGCCTTCTGTAGGGAGACCAGCTGCAGCAGAGGGTCTTTAGGGGGCTTCGGGGGCTGAATGTCCA